GGGCGATGTTGCCCATGCAGTTGCATTATATACATAGATAGATAGATAGAGATAGACAGAGACAGATAGATAAACAGAGATAGATAGATAGATAGACTGAGTGATAGATATATAGAAAGAATGGTTGTTTTATTGATAGATTGATAGATCGACAGATAGACCGATAGAGATTCACACACACACACACACACGCACACACACACACACACACACACACACACACACACACACACACACACACACACATATATATATATATATATATATATATATATATATATATATATATATGTGTGTGTGTGTGTGTGTGTGTGTGTGTGTGTGTGTGTGTGAGTGTACTCATACACAAACATGCACGGGCGCGCACACACATTAAGATACGATAGTGGTGCCCGACACACACACACACACACATACACACACACACACACACACACACACACAGACACACACACACACACACACACAGAATATTAATTAACTGTGATGCCTCTGCGCTTTCATCCGTATCACAAGATAAGAATATATAAAAGAAATACATTTATGATTGCTAAAACTTGAGAAGAATAGTTCATCTAATCTCCATGGATAAAAGCCAAGTTAAAAATCGACCTATAATTCTCATGAAAAAAAACTAAGGTGAAGACTGCTTTCAAAGTATATCACGAATATATCACTTGGAAATAAAAGCAAATACTAAAAGATTGTGTATTACGGAAGCAAGCTTTCGTGGCATGCACTCTGGCTAGATATATTCAGTGTTGCCCTTGAGTTAAATTGGTGCATAAAAAAGACCGCATTTCAACGTGGGGTGTATATTTTCACTATTTCCTGCTGGTATTGTTAACTACGCTATATCATATGATGAGTGTTTTTTCTACGAAGGCCTGTGTTTTGTAAATATGTTGTTGTATTTTTAATTATATCTGCATTGACAGTGTAAGAGTGGCTCTCGGCATCTTGCAACCCGCTCGCTTTTAGTATACCAGTCACCGCTTCGTTGTTTCTCCCTCATCTTTGATATACTTTCACGTTTAATCTTTATTCAAGGTTTTTCGGGGAGTTTTAGGTTTCCTTTAGTTACATCCATTTGGGGTCCGGTTTTCTTTGGTTTTGTTTTTATTTTACTTTCCATTTGTTTATGTTATTCGTTCGTTCATATAATTTACTATTTTTTTATTTTAATGAGTGTCAGTAATTTTACTGTTATTTCATGAAATGTTATTATTTTTTACATTTTGTAATTGTACAGATGTACGACCGTGACGTCACGGCATGTGTGTAACCCTATTTCCCGCGAAACAAACAGTCGGTGCCCGCAGTTGGGCCAATTACATTTCTATTTCTCTGAAGCCCATTTGTGATGACTGAATTGCAGCCGGCTTCAGCGAACAAGGAGCCCCCGCCCGATACTTCAGGGACACAAAAGTTACGTGTGTACTGACAGTTGTCTTAGTTTTATCATTTTGACCACTACTACTACTACTACTACTACTGTTGCTACTGTTACTACCATTACTACTATTACTACTATTACAACTATTACTACTACTACTACTTCTATTACTACTGTTACTACTATTACTACTATTACTACTATTACTACTACTACTACTACTATTACTACTGTTACTACTATTACTACTATTACTACTATTACTACTATTACAACTACTACTGCTACTACTACTACTACTACTTCCACAACTACTACTACTATTACTATTATTATACCATGCCCACTTATTCTTATTCTTTGCCCGCTACCACACCCATGGGGTTCTAGGAGAGGAACAATTATATACTCTTGAATTGCGCAAGACATTTCCCTGGGCGACAGAGCAGCTTACTCCTACAACGGTATCAATAAGTCTCTTAAAATTATTATAATTGCACTGTTCTCTATCCATTCGCTTTTATAGAATTTAATGGATTTTCTGTGACGGCTACATTTAGACAAAAAAAAATATATATATGCTATCTCTCATTAAACGCGTAATAGGAAGTATTAATCGTACGTCTGCCAGCTCTGCACGATTCTCCTCCCAAAAAAACGTATTTTTTATGAATTGTGAATTTGTATCGTACAGCACAGCTTGTGATGAATGGAGTTCTGCTCTATATCCTTGAAAGTTTTTATTTTTTGTTTTTGTCTTTTCATTTCCAGAATTACTCGTTAGCTTACTGTAAGTGTTGTAGGGTAAATCGAGACATCTTAATGCAAATGAATTGCCAGCCTGCTAAACTATCTAGGTCCCAAAGACTGTGAGCAAGTTATACTGTAGCTAATGTTGTGTAAATAATCGAATACACAAGTGAACCGTTAGATCAATCGACTTGAGCAGATGAATTCTTTAACCGATACCACAGTTCCATAATTGTTATTTTGAGGTCAGAAGAGAAATCGGAATCAAATGATACAATTTTTGTGTAGTACGTTTTTTATTGTGTACAAGATTGTCTGTTAATCGGGAAAATAGGAGTCCTGTATTGGGCAATATTGTGATTACAATATAGGGTGAAAGCTTCTGTCCTGATATTCGTACACCATAGATATGTTTATATACACGCACATACACATGCGCACTCACGCACGCACGTGCACACACACACACACATATTTGTACATGAATATCTGTCCACTAAAATATGTAAAATGTGTATGCTTTCGTGACAAAAATATATTTTGCTGACTTTTTTGGTGAAAAAAGTAACTTTTGTCATTTTTATACCTATTCAAATACATATTATTGACAAAAAAGGTTTAAGAGGAAAAAACGGCGGCCGAAATAGACTACTTATTCTTAATCCTTTTTAAGTAAACATGCATATGTGTGTGCGTGTGCTTGTGAGCACGTTTTAAACCTTGCTCGTGCATCGTAATTAACTCAAGACGAACTCTGATTAAGCTGATGGTTACTACTCTTCCTCTTCTTAGAAATACGGCCTTAAGGCATATTCCTCTCGGTTATGCCCGGTGCAACCACAACTTCTAACGAGATTCATGATGTAAGTAGCAATTCTTTCTGCACTCACATCATAATCCGCCAGATGACAGCAGTGACCGGTGTCGGCGCACAGCTTCCGGATAATAGATTTCAGCACGAATAGGGGCGCAGCCATGAGGAAATCGCCAAACCATTCAAAGGGCAATAGAAACACGTCTACTGTGAATTCTATGTACTTCCATTCCAATCCTGGAAAGGCATGATAAAGGGATCATGTTACTCGAAAGCATTATACTGATTTTTTTTTCACTGTATTGTTTGTAAATCAAATCAACATACCTGTTCACACTGTTTAGATAATCATGACCTTTTT